ATCCTGCCCTGCCTGGTGGCCGCTCTTCGCCAACAAGGGTTCTGCTAGGCCTCCACTGGCTGCTGGAGCTGGAGCACCACTGCCCACCATGCCGATCACAGAGTCCGGGGCATACTTGCCAATGACATCAGGTGGATGAATCCTCAACACGCTACATTGATACTACTGTATCATTTGATATTGCACGAATTCAAAGGAAAGCGAAAGAGCTCTCTACTGAGAGTAGTAAGTTGAGGACATGTTGAACTCTTCAGTGGCATCCTTTCCTTAGATGTGGCATTAACTGCAAGTCAGCCCCCCCTGACCTGTTGCACGTCCAAACAAACCTGTTTGCAACTTATCCAGTGCCTGAATCACACTGTTGCAATGTCGTGCCGGTTGAGCTAAACACAACGTCTTTCCATTCTTTGCAAGCAACCGGCAAAGGTCAAAATAGCCAGCTCACCCCCAGGGTGCTCCGAGAGGAATGAAGTAACGTCCAAAACCTGCACCGGAGACCGCTTGCACCTTTGCTCGTGTTTTTCTGCTTGTTTTGCAAAAGAAAGGGAATGACTGTATACTTCACCCAGTGTGATGTGGAAAAGAGTCTGCGCTCTACAACCCTGTAACCTTCTATTCTAACTGATATATATATATATAACTCACATTGGCTATGATAGTATATTGGCGATGGAGACGGATTTGCACTCCCAGCGCCTGACCATCAACCACCACCTCAAAAATGCAGCAAGGGGCAAAAAGTGGCTGGCTTCCACTTGTACACACACAGGCGCACACTGCTTCTTCGAACAGGTTCATTCCCTGAAGCCAAGGAACCCAGCAGTCACTCTTGGTATTATGCTTTCCTACCTCCGCCATGGAGATACCGCCACCGCCACCGCCGGCTGCTGGTGCACCGCCAGCCACTGCTCCACCACCACCTCCGCCAATCTTGCCGATCACAGAGTCCGGAGCATACTTTCCAATCACATCAGGAGGATGGATCCTTTGCTGAATCATTCACAATGTATATCTTGACTAGCATCCCTCAATACATGTCGCAGCAGCAGTGCAGTCGCATGTGGTGCCAGTGGCAGCAGTAATGATTAGTCCAGCGTTGCAAAAAGTAGCAGAAAGTTGATTGTTCATGATGTTGAGGAAGTTAAGCTTCCACTTGGGTGCGATCAATCAAAATAGAACAAATTAGGAATAACAATAGGAAAACCCATTTAGGAAAAAATACGGACCCCCTTTTACTGTTTGTCCTATTTGTTTGTCCGATGTGGTCCTATTTGTACTCCTATGAGCCTATGTTGTATTCTACCCGTTTCTCCAATATTTGCAAATCTTGCAGAATCCTCGCAAAATTAACTAGAATGAGAAAAGAATAGTAAACAAAAGCTACAAAATTTGGACAAGTAATTACTCCTATCCATTTGTTGTCAGTGGTTTTCCTATATGTCCCTCTACGTTCGATGATCTTTCCTAAAAATGGAAACCTTGCAGAATTCTCAAAAAAACAGCAAAAGATTGGAAAAAATCGTGAAAAAAGTCAGAAAATCCTGGGTTAAAAACTAAAAATAGTACAAAAAGCAGATCTGGGCGGGCATGGATTCGGAAATTGCGAGGCATTGAAGTTCTCACTTCTAAGCATATTGCTTCGTTGCAGGAATGTGGGATGAGCCGGTATAGCAGCTTAGCAGCTTCTATGGATCTGTCACGTTTATCAATGATGTGCCTGTTTGGTTCTTCTTGATCCCCTCACCCTTAGCCGGAATTTTTGGGAACCCTCCCAGACCAAACTTTGTTTGCTTCTCTACACAAATATCACTTGGACTAGTGTTATGTCCACCAGAGGTGGCTTTGTTCTAGAAAAAGCAAGTCTTGAACAAAAACAAAAAAGAACTAAAAAACAAAAGTGCAAACCAAAAAAGAACACTTGCAAAACAAAGAGCAACCAAGAAAGCAAAAAAAGTGCAACCCAAAAAGCACTAGCAAAACAAAGAGCAACCAAGAAAGCAAAAAAAGTGCAACCAAAAAAGCACTAGCAAAACAAAGAGCAACCAAGAAAGCAAAAAGAAAGTGCAACCAAAAATGCACAGCCGGGCTTTCTGACCCTTCCAAAAAGTGCGCCGCCAGAAAGCCCGGCTGAGTGCAGAAACCTCAGGGACCTCTTTGTTTTGCTAGTGCTTTTTTGGTTTGCACTTTTGTTGCTTTTGTGTTGCTTTTTTTCAAGATGATCAACCTCTAGAATTCTAGAATAAAGCGGTCTGGCAGACATAAGACTAGTGACTAGTCAATGCTCCGCGCTCTCTCTTTCTCTCTCTCTTTCTCTCTCTCTCTCTCTATCTCTCTCTCTCTCTATCTCTCTCTCCCTCTCTCTATCTCTCTCCTACTGTTGGTCCTTTTTTGTCCTATGCTTCTCTTTATTATACAAGTCTTGCAGAATCCTCGAAAAGATATTGGCGATAACAGCAAACATAGTGACAAATCAGAACAAAATAGCATCAAGATAGCAAAGAGAGAGAGAGAGAGAGAAAAAGAAAAACTTAGAACAACGACATGTAGGGAGAAAATAATTGGGACATAAATGGGGACTCCCGTTTTGCCTAGTCTTTCCTATTTTGTGTCTATGTGTTTAGATATAAATATATATATATATATATTTAAAACAAAAATTGTGTTGATGAGTTTCCC